CCCCCCCCCCCCCCCCCCCCCCCCCCCCCCCCCCCCCCCCCCAAGAATGGAGCTGCAGACGGTATCCTGCGATCCCAAATAAACAATGATCGATCAGTAGGAAAACGGGGTGGGGAATTTTCCCAGGGTCTCTAGTCCGCAGGATTTAAAATTGTGAGTTTGGTGGTCCCTGAGGTCCAAAAGGTTGGTGACCCCTGAGCTAGAAGACCTCAAAGGTCCCTTCCAACTCTGTTATTCCATATTCTGTTCTAGAGGCTGTGGTAAGTTTGATTTAGTTTACTTTATTGTCATTGCACTTCTTACAACGAAATCAAACACCATCTTCAGTGCACATCAGGGCCATGAGAATAAACACAAACACACATCCTTCACCCTCCACACATTGACCCAAAAACCCCCGACACCGCGCCAACACTGCACTATACAGTCGAATTCAACAGAGCTACTTGCCCTGGGAATGGAAGCTGTTTTTCAGCCTATTTATCCTTGTTTTTATTATTCCCAGCGCCGAAGTAAACCAAGAGTTGTACTTAATTACGGTCTCAGGAAACCTTGGTCAGAACACCTACCTTGTAGTAATGTTCCAGCAAGATTCGCACAACGCCTTCCACACTTTCAGCCTCCACTGGCTTCCGGGCAAACTGAAGCAAGTATTGCAACGCATCGGCCGGCGAGGTGGCCTTGCAAAGATCTACGTGAAGAGCGGCAGATTTGCTGGGTTTGGTTAGCCGGATTTTTTTAGCCGAAATTTCTTCATGCTGCTGTTGCTGAAACATTAATGTTTGTTAATTAATGATAAATTAACGTTTATCATGGACTTCTTTTTAGATCTTGTTGCTTTTTTTATTATTTTATAGTACCGTAACCGTGGAGCCGTGGTGGTGCAGTGGTTAGCAATGCAGCACTGCAAGCTACTTCTGCTGACTGCCAGCAGTTGGGCAGTTCAAGACTCACCAGCCTCAAGGTTGACTCAACTTTCCATCCTTCCAAGGTGGATAAAACGAGGACCCAAATTGTTGGGAGCAAAAGGCTGACACAGGGAGGGAGGGAGGGATGAAGGAAGGAAGGAAGGAAGGAAGGAAGGAAGGAAGGAAGGAAGCAAGCAAGCTGTGGTGGCATAGTGGTCAGAATACAGAATTGCAGGCGGACTCTGCCCACTGCCAGGAGTTTGATTCTGACCAGCTCAAGGTTGACTCATCCTTCCAAGGTCGGTTAAATGAAGACCCAGATTGTTTTTTTTTTGGGGGGGGGGGGGAATATGCTGACTCTGTAAACTGCTCAGAGAGCACTGTGAAGCGGTATATAAGTCTAGGTGCTATTAGGAAGGAAGGAAGGAAGGAAAGAAGGAAAGAAGAAAAGAAAGGAGCTGTGATGGCATAGTGGTCAGAATGCAGTACTGCAGGCTAACTCACTTCTCACTGCCAGCAGTTCGATCCTGATCGGCTCAGCCTTCCCTCCTTCCGAGCTGGGTAAAATGAGGGCCCAGATTGTTGGGGGCAAGAGGCTGGCTCTGTAAACTGCTTAGAGAGGGCTGTACAAGCACTATGAAGCGGTATATAAGTGCTAAGGGCAATTGCTGTAACAACCATCAGTGTTATTAGAGTAATACAGATAGTCTTCAACTTACAAGAGTTCGCTTAGCGACCGTTCGAAGTTAGAACAGCATTGAAAAAAGGGACTTACAACCGTTTTTCACACTTATGACCGTTGCAGTATTTCCGTGGTCACGTGGTTTACTTTCAGATGCTTGGCAAGTGACTCACATTTATGACCGTTGCAGTGTCATGTGATTCCCCCCCCCCCTCTTTTAAATAAAATTACATGAAAAGTATATATGGAAGAATATAAAAGAAAAACAAGAAGGGGAAAATTCATTACCCAAATTAGGTCACATTCCTGAGAAAATATATTAAGAAAGTGTATGAGAAAATATTTTAAAAACTATGAAACATGTGTATAGAAGATATACGGAAGAATATAAAAGAGAAATACGAAAGGGAAAAGTATATGAAAAGACATAAAAATTGTGTGTATTTATTTATCTATCTATCTGTATATGTGTGTGTATGTGTGTATATATATATATGTGTGTGTGTATATGTATATATGTATATATATGTATATGTATATTTGTGTCTGTGTCATATATATATATATACACACACACATATTTTACTTTTTCATACGTCGCATCCACACAGTCCTACCAACTCGGGTCAAACGTCACGTGAGAACCCACCCGTTTCCTTGTTACGTAGAGTGCCTGAACCAGACGAAGCGTCGCCTGTTCCGACAACGCGGGTTCCGCGTGTCGTGTGAAGCCAGCCAAAGAAAGCAGACATTGCTTTCCACCCCACCCCGGCCCCACTCCCGCTTCGCAGACTTGTTTCCGTGAACTCCCTCCGACCCCGGCCTCTCCTTCCCGCCCCGAGAGCGTCATCGGTTACCTGGACCACCACTTTGCTGAACTCCTCGTAGACCCGCTTCTTCAGGTGAGCCGCCATGCTCCAGGCCTGGCGAACCGGCCCAGCTTCGCCTTCTGGGTACTCAAGAGCCTCCTCGGCCGCCGTAGCTTTCCCCCCACCCCATTCTCCGCCCTCTCTCTCTCTCTCTGTCTCTCAGCCGCGCTGAAGAGGCGGGGCGCTCCTCGTCTCCCGACTTTTCATTCAACCGTGACTTCAGGTTGTCAAGGGCAGCTTCCGGAGCCTTCCATTTGCGGGGTCGGAGTGGCGGAAGTCAATGGAAGTGTCGCAGATGGGATTTGTCGAGAGGGGGGCTTTCGCTGGAGCACATCTATCTGTCTGTCTATCAGCTATTATCCGACTGTCTGTCTGTCTATCAACTACCATCCATGTATCTATCTGCCTGCCTGTCTATCTATTCTATAGCATCTGTCTGGGTCTGTCTATGAACTGTCATCCATCTATCATCCATCCATTCATCTATTTATCTATCTTCTATATCTATTTGTCTATCAACTATCATCCATCTATCATCTATCTATTTATCCATCCATCCATCCATCCATCCATCCATC